TAGAGAAACCTTGTCTCAGAAAACAAAAACAATTAACTATTATTTTAGTTAGTTGTATATACCTGAGTGTTTGCTTGTGTGTGTGTGTGTGTACATACATATATGTACACCGCAAGTGTGCTGTGTATACGGAGGATAGAAAAGAATGTTTGGTTCCTTGAAACCTGAGTTACAGGTAATTGTGAGTCACTGTGTGGGTACTGGAAACCAAACCTGGGTCATCGACAAGAACACCCGCTGTTCTTAACCACTGAGCCATCATCTCTCCAGCCCCAACTCTGTATGATAGAGCTAATGGAAAGGATGCCAGACTTGCTAAGGAGACTGAATGAATTAATGATCCATCCATCCTGTACCTGAGAAGTTCTTCGTCTTAGGGATTCTGTTGCTGTGAAAAGACCATGACCGCAGCAACTCTTTTTTTTTTTTTTGGATTTTTCGAGACAGGGTTTCTCCATAGCTTTTGGTTCCTGTCCCGGAACTAGCTCTTGTAGACCAGGCTGGCCTCGAACTCCCAGAGATCCGCCTGCCTCTGCCTCCCGAGTGCTGGGATTAAAGGCGTGTGCCACCACCGCCCGGCTCGCAGTAACTCTTATAAGGAAACATTTAATTGAAGTGGCAGCTTACTGTTTAAAATATTCAGTCCATTATCATCTTGGTGGGGAACATGGCAGTGTGCAGGCAGACGTGGTGCTGGAGAAGATGAGGGTGCTATATCTTGCCGGCAACAGGAAGTAGACTGTTATACTGGGCTGGTATCCTGAGCAAAGGAAACCTTAAAGCCCTCCCCCACAGTGACACACTTCCACCAACAAGACCATACCTACTGCTAGCAAGTCACACCTCTCAATAGTGCCACTTCCTGTAAGATTATTGGGTAGAATTAATTACATTCAAACTGCCCCACTCTTGATAACTTGTCACTACTGCTCTTCTCGCAAACCTCATGGAGTCCACTGCCACCATTCAGCACTGAGTGCCTAGCGCTTTGTGCACACAAGCTTGTTGAAGGTCTCCGACAGGCCAGCGCACAGTGGCTGTGCTGAGATGTTACTGTAGACTGAAGCAATTTTAGAGTGCCACATGTCTTGCTGCCCTTGGGTCTCAGAGCTCAGGTCTAGGATCTGCTGCTTCCCAGACCATCCTGGCACATTAGCACAGTTGCCTCTGTCGGGGAAGCTGCCTCGGTACCTGTGTGTGCTGTCTCTCATGGAACTTTTGTCTCTTTCTCTACTCAGCCTAGTTACAGCCAGCCACCCTACAACCAAGGAGGCTACACCCAGGGCTACACAGCCCCACCGCCTCCGCCTCCGCCACCACCTGCCTACAACTATGGGAGCTATGGCCCCTACAATCCTGCCCCCTACACCCCACCACCACCCCCCACTGCCCAGACCTACCCTCAGCCCAGCTATAACCAGTATCAGCAGGTAAGTACAAGATGGACCTCCCAGTGAGGCTTCTGGGAGCACTCTTGTATTCAGACATGATTTTCTGCCTATTCCTGAAATATGGGTAGCTGCTTTGCCTCAAGCTAGTGTTCAAGGGCCTTTGGTAAACTGGTCTTTGCTGGCTACTAACTGGTGTGTAGCCACTGGCCCCTAGTACAGGAAGCTGACCTGACTCAGCTGAGTCCGGCTTTGGCACCATGGCCAGGGGTGCCAAATGCTAATCCAAGTTGGTGCTGGGGCCACCACATCTGCAAAGGACAGCCAGGAGACCACGCCTGCATTCCCTGATTGTTTATGTGACATCAACTCAACACTTATATCCAAAGCACTTTGCTTTCTGTCAAAGGGCTCATGTGTGGAGGGTGGGCCATGAGAGGAGCGAAGGGACAGTCTGGAGTGGTGGGAGATAACCTGGTATTCTTGCTCTCTCCCCAGTATGCCCAGCAGTGGAGCCAGTACTATCAGAACCAGAGCCAGTGGCCGCCGTACTACGGGAACTATGACTATGGAGGATACTCGGGCAGCACACAGGGGGGCACAAGCACACAGTAGCAGGTGCTGGAGCCTCCAGAGGCCCATGCCAGCTGCTTCTACTAGCGCCTGCCTTGGCCCTTCCACCCCTCTGAGTCCTGTGGTGCTGGGGACAGAGTTATCCCAGGGCTTGCCTCCCTCTAGCCCACATCTTCCAGAGGGCCTCTCCCTTCAGACAGGAACAGTGATTTTTTTCTTTTATCTTTGTCCCCTCTACCTTCTCCTCTCCCTGCCTTTTTGACTACAGAAGCCTCTCCTTTGATTACCCAGCGAGGCCACAGTGACTTGGGAAGATCCTGACCATCTGCCCCTCCCCACCCTGCTTTAGCCCCTTGGCTTCCCAGACTCATGCAGTTGGTTGTAAATTCTTCCAGGAGCTGTTTTACTGTCTACTTTTCAGGATTTAAAAAAAAAAAATCAAAAACTTTAATAAAAAAAAAAAGTTTAAGAAGCAAAATGTAGAGAGGAAGGAAGCAGTGACATATTTTTTGGTAATTATGCTTTTTTTTTTAATTTTTAGAATTTGTCTGTTTTTACTGTGGGTCAGCCATTGATACTTCATCAAATAACTATTTCTTTGCTGAGTTCAGGTAACCGAGGAAGAGCCACGCCCTCGAAACAAACAAAATCACCTTTACCTAACTTTTTGTATGATGTCTCAGTTCCCCATAACTTTGCACACAAGTGTCTGTGTTCTGTTGGATTGTAACTGCTTTTTGTATTTGGAGAGAGTGTGACTATTGAACTTGAAACCTTTTACTCCAGGAGTCTTGGTAGTTTCTGGTGGGCTTAAGTGGGTGAGAGGGTGAAGGGAAGGTGGGGGTGGGGCCGGCTTCCCTTTAACCCTAAAGTTAAACCACCTCCTCCATTGCTCTTCCAGGTGCCAGACCTCCAAAGTTTTACAGTGGTCCCTTTGATTATTCTCACCTTCTTTACCCATATGTTTTAATCGGATTTTAACAAACTGCACTTATTAAGAAATGTTTTACCCTGTTTTGTTTTACCTTATTCAATAAATGACATGGCACCTCCTATCAGGAAGGAAGCAGGGTTGACACCCTGACGTGTTGGCTGCAGTTGGCCTTTAATTGGGATGGGAGGCTTTCAAAGGGGAGCGCTTCACTCATTCATTTAAACAAAATGGTTCTCTACCTCGCCACCCACATGTTCTTCGGACAGGGGACAGACAGGTGGGACCTGTAGGGAAGAGACCAGTCTGGTTTGGAGCCATCCCTAGGTTTGTTGCCCACCCACATCCCTTGAGCCTGGCCAGGGTGCTGCTCTTGGGGCTTGTACTGCCTCCCCTATATGCATTGACTGCCTGCTGTTGCCATCCTGGATAGCGCTAGGGACCTTGAGCAACTGCAGAGATAGTTCTAGTCCCTGTTCTTGAGGTTCCCCCTCTAGGGGATACATATTTGTAACTAGTGACAGCCCCAAGGGTTTAGAGAGAGAGAGACAGAGACAGACCCTGGAGTGATAGAAAGATGGCTCTCTGGAGAAGAAAATGCAACATGACTGTAGCCCACCTGCTTCATTGTGCAGCCTCCTAGCTTCCTGTGCAGGCTGTGTGATTCACATCGACATGGTGTACACAACTCAGCCCTGCTCCCTTGGAGGAACTGGGGAACCTTGTGTGAAGGGGCACAACTTACCAGAAGAGCTAGGGACATGCATCCGAGTTCCCTTGAGGTTTGCAGTTATGTAACTTAATTCCCTGGACAGCTTAGACCCTGTCTCCAAAAGTAAGGGCTAATGCATATTGTTCACAGTGCACCAACAGGACCAAACATCAGGAGGGAGGCTAAGTTGGAGGGCCTGAGGAGGGACCATGTCTGTGCTTAAAAGGCACTTGTCAGCTTGGTCTAGGAGAAGGCAAGGAGGGGTGGGTCCTACTGTCTCTAGTCTGACAAGTCCTGCTCTTGGCAGGCGAGTGCTGAGCAGCAGTGCCCTCTGCTGACCACTACTGATAATGCAGCTGAGTACTCACCACGCTGGGGGATGCAATCTAGTTCTTCCTCTTCCACGGTTTCTGAATTAATCACCAGCTTCCTCACCGTGCTCACCAGTTCCTTTCCTTGGTTCCCTTCCTCAAACCCTATAGGCTCCAACCGTTTGTTAGAGCTAGGAAGCCCTGCCTGACCTGGCACTGAGGACCATGGCCTCACTCACCCTCTTATTTTCTTGAGACAAGGTCTAGCTGTGTAGCCCTGGGAGGCCTGGAACTCACTAATGATCAGGCTGGCTCAAACCTTAAATGATTTCCCGGCCTCTGCCTCCTGAGTACTGTATGCCTTGACCATAGTAAGCCATTCCAACATCTAGTACTACCCATGCCAGCCAAACTGCCCCAAATACTTAACTTTTTTTTTTTTATCCCTTCAGCTCTTATCTGGGGTCTGTATCTCTACCTACACGCCTCCCACCTACCCTGTGGTGGGCAGGTCCCTCCACTTCCCACAGCCCTCACACCTGCAGGTTTCCTCCTTGTTTAGAAACACAAAGGTCCTTTCCCTGACTTCATCACATGCCAGCCAGCCACAGGCTGAATGTGATGACAGAAGGAAGTCAAATCACGGAGGTGGGTGAGATGGCTCAGCGGTCAAAGATGCTTGCTGGGTAGCCGGGTGGTGCTGTACGCCTTTAATTCCAGCACTCAGGAGGCATACATAGAGAAACCCTGTCTCGAAATATAAACAAAAAGCTTGCTGGCAGTCTTGACTGAGTTCTGTCCCTGGAACCCACTCCCATAAATTGTCCTCTGATCACTTATGCATGCATTATTTTTAAATTAAGAAGCATAGTCGAGTCTCCAGGTCCTGGAGGGTGCTCACGCAACAACCATTGTAAACATTAACTACGTGAGGGCCTGGAGTTACGGCAGCGATCAAATGACATACAGTACCCGATGGTTTTCAAATTTGCGAACGCTAAAGATTCATTCGGCCTAGCGCCCTTTTCATACCTGGTTGCTGGGGGACGGGGCCACGCATGCGCAGAGAGGCGGGCCACCTTTGACCCGGAACTTTAGTGCCTGGGTGCAGCTTAAGCAGTCGGTCAGTGACGCTTCCATAGCCGGAAATGGCTACGACTGCTTAAGGTCCGTGCTGGCTTCCTGACCCCGCTGCGGCGGTTTAATGAGTCGAAGACTTGGGATGGAGGCCGTGGCAGCCGGGGCGGTGACGGAGAAGTCCGATGTTGGTGAGGCACTGACCAGGCACAGGCGTCGGGAGGGGGCTCTTGCGGTGTGACCTGGAAACGGTTCCGGTAGACTGTCTAGGAAGTGTAACCTCAGCCTCCCGGCATTTTCAGCACTTGGTCAGATTATTGCCTTGTGGCAGGTGGACAGTTCCCTCCATTTTCTTAGAATTCCTTTCAGTGTCCCAAGCTAACCCATTTCTTCCCATGCCAAAGCCTCAAGCAAATATAAACTTCTTCACTGCAAATTCTTCTAGTCTCAGGCCAACCTTTCTTAAGATACCTCTTTCCTGTGCCAGCCTGAGCTTTTCTGTACCCCAAGCTAGCTCTTGTCCCATGCAAACTGACTTATGTAAGACCCACAGCGCTCATTGCATTCTAACTCCCTTGTCCCCAAAGTCTGCAGTCCGTTCTGCCTCAAGTCTTTTCTCCCTCGCGCCTGCAATGCCTTTTACTGCTCTGCTGAATTCCCACAAGTACTGCCTGAGTGTGCGTGTCAGTCTTTTTCTAGAGCAACTTGCCTTCCTCCTGTCTCGGCCTCCAAAGTGCTAGGGTTACAGCCCGGCGCTACCACACCTGTCTTTAAAATGCTTTTTTCTTTTCTTTTCTTTCTTTTTTGGATTTTCGAGACAGGGTTTCTCCGCAGCTCTTTTTGGTTCCTGTCCTGGAACTAGCTTTTGTAGACCAGGCTGGCCTTGAACTCACAGAGATCCACCTGCCTCTGCCTCCCGAGTGCTGAGATTAAAGGCGGGGAGCCACCCCCCCCAGCATAAATAAGTAAATCTTTAAAAAAAAATGCAATGCATCTTTGCATCATTAAACAAATATTTCATAGCACGAATGAATGTAGCACATCTTCAAATAATGTTCCACAACAGCCTCCCAAATGCCTGCCTTCTCCAGAGTCATACACACTGCTCATCATTTTCTTTACCCATCACCCACTATAGCCCAACCTTTACTCTGTACCTGTTCAGTTAGGATCCCCAATGGCGTCCTCGCACGTGCAGTTGAACATGGCTACTCCATCTAGTTCTTTGGGTTTTGTTGTTTTGTTACATTTTGATTGCTATCTTTTTCTATAGCAACTTGCCTTTAGTTTGTTTGAGATGGGGTTTTGCTTTGTAACCTAGGCTTACCTAGAACCCACCATGTAGTCCAGCCTGGTCTCAAACTCATGAATTGTTCTCTTTCAGCCTCCCTAGTGGGCTACAGGTGAGTGCCACCCAGTCCAGCATCTGGACTGTTTACAGGAGTCAGTACTGGCAAGTTTGCTTTATGAGATAGCATGCTCTGGCTCCTCCCTGCTTCTCAGGCTGCTCCTTCTTAGCCCTTTGTGTTATTTCTCACAACTGCTGTACTGGATGACCCAAAAATGGGTGTTTAAAGTGAGCAGAAATGAACTCTAGACTTAGTATTACCAGACAGAACTAATCAGGCTACAAGGCCTGGCTCCTTCACAGGCTCTAGGCTGTTCCTCGTCTCTTCCAGTTAGAGATGGCACCGGCACTTGCTGGCTTGTGCCCATAGCACTCTGATGTCTGCCTCCACCGTCATAGCACCTGTGTGTGTCTGATCTTCCTCTGTCTTTCTTGTTTTTATTATTTTATGTGTATGGGGGTTTGGCCTATATGCATGTCTGTGCATAGTATCCACAGAGGCCAAGAGGGTGTCAGATCCCCTGGAACTGGAGTTACACATGATTATGAGCTGCTTTGTGGATGCTGGGAATCAAACCTGGGTCCCCTGGAAGAGCAGCCGGTGCCCTTAACCACTGAGCCATCTTTCCACACCTCCCTCAGTCTCTTATTGCATTTAGGACATTTAACTCAGAATAATCTCTCAGGTTTTCTGTTTGTTTGTTTTTGCTTTCTGTGGGTTTTATTGTTTTCTGAAACAAGGTTTCTCTGTGTAGCTTTGGAACCTGTCCTGGAACTAGCTCTTGTACATCAGGCTGGCCTCGAACTCACAGAGATCCACCTGCCTCTGCCTCCCGAGTGCTGGGATTAAAGGCGTGCACCACCACCGCCCAGCTAATGTCTCAGTTTTTAAGAGCCTTAATATAATTATGTTTGTGGAGACCCCCACACGCGTTAAAAGTTTCAGTGGTTAAGATGTGTCTGTCTTTGGAAGACCTAGTTTTTAGCTTTTACAGGCATGCCCTCTGCCCATATGTCCAGTGTCATCTGCTTTGTGGTTTGTCTGCACACACTCCCCTCACCCATGTGTCGTTTCTCTCTGCCTGGCTCTGTATATGTGTACAGCTGTGTCTCCAGCACTGTACCTCTCTGGGGGATCCGGGAGGCCTATGTCCCAGCATTCTCTTAGATACAGCCTCTCAAATGTCTCCCATACCCATGGCTGCTTCCCTAGCCCAATCTGCTTCCTGCTTCTGTCCCTGGGAGTAGTTTGTCCCCTAGGCTAAAGCCTTGGACCTACCCCTAACCCTCCCAGCCCTGCAGTCCCATGGCTTGTCCATTTAAGCATCTGACCCTCCTTGAACTGCAAGGCCCCAGCCTCTCTTGCTTCAATGGCTGAAACCCACTGTACTTTACAGTCTGAGTCCGCCCTCCCCCCATCCCAGTCAGTTATCTAAAAATGGCATGTAATTCTCCCATCTTTGCTTTTCTAAAACTTGCTGAAGTTCCTTCCTGCTTCCACTGGCTTTGCCCGGTGCCTGTCTTTCCTGTTCTTTGCCTAGATCATCTTTGATCAGGACCTCCCATATCAGACTGGCTGCCCCGCCCCCTGCAGGGGGAGCGCTATAGGGGTCCTCCATACTGGTTCAGGGCTTTACTTGGGAATGAACGGTTAGGGGATGTGGGAATACCTAAGGGGAAGTGAATAAGGATGTAGGTCACTGTCCTGTCACTATTCTGTTGCTGTGAAGAGACAACTGGTGGCTTGAAAGAAAATGGCCCCAAAGGAAGTGGCACTATTAGGAGTGTGGCCTTGTTGGAGGAAGTGTGTCACTGTGGGGGTGGGCAGTGAGGTCTTTTTCTCAAGCTTTGCTCAGTGTGACAATCAGTCGACTTCCTGTTGCCTGTAAGATGCAGCACTGTTGGCTCCAGCATCATGTCTGCCTGCACGCTGCGCTGCTCCCCACCATGATGATAGTGGACTGTAAGTGAGCCACCTCAATTAAATGTTTTCTTTGTAGGAGTTGCTGTGGTCATGGTGTCTGTTCACAGCAATAAAAAACAAAATAGACACCATGACTACAGCAACTCTTATAAAGGAAAGCATTTAATTGGGCCTCACAGTTTCAGAGATTTGGTCCATTATCATCATGGCGGGGAGCATGGTGGGATGCCGGCAGGTGCTGGCACAGTAGCTCAGGGTCACATCTTCATCCGTTGACTGAGAAACTCTGGGCTTGGCACTGGCTTTTGGAACCTCAAAGCCTACCCCAGTAACACACTTCCTCCAACAAGACCACACCTCCTGACCCTTCAAGTCCTTACAATCTGCCCCTCCCTAATGGCCCAGCATTCAAATGTAGGAGCTATGGGGGCCATTCCTATTCAAACCAACAGTCATTGACCAAGTCAGTGGCTGTAACCTAATGTGATGGCCCAGGCAACCAGCAGCTCGGTAGGTCAGGCCTCAGGACCTGTGCTGCTGCTCCCTACTGAAAAGTTTTTATCCCAAAAAATACAGAGGTCAGTCTCTCAGCACTTCAGGTTTTTACTCAGATTAAAAAAAAAAAAAAAAAAAAAAAAAAAAACTTGCTTAGTTTTATCTCGTATGTGTTGGTTGTTTTGTCCACATTTATGTCTGCACACCACAAGCATATATTGCCGAGGAGGCCAGGAGAAGATGCCGCATCCTCTAGCACTGGAGTTACAATTGTGAGCCGCCATGTGGGTGGTGGGAACTGAGCCTGGTTGTCTGGAAGAGCAGCCAGTGCTCCTCTTTAACAGCTGAGCCGTCTCTCCAGATGTCACTTCCTGGCAAGCTTTGTTACCCTCCATTGAATGTTGAGCCGCCCCCACATTCCTCCTGTCTTCTTGGGGTTCTCTCTTGCATGCTCTCTCGTCACCATCAGTGATGTTTTGGATTTTTATTGTTGGTTTGTTTTCATTTTTCTCGCTGTATAGTCCTAGCTGGCCTTGAACTCACAGAGCTCCACTTCCCTCTGAGATTAAAGGTGCTGGGACTAAAGGCGTGTGCTACTGTGCCAGGCTTGTATGTTTTGGCTTTTCTACATACTCCATGTTTCTGTTAATTAATTAGGGCATTGACTGTGCCACATCACTATGGGACCTCTTACCATGCTCTGTCCAGGGCCTAACACATTCCCCAGGATGCCAGGGGCGCACGATGACTACGAACTGTGTGTGCCAACACCCAACCACTTCCTACCTAATCCCTTCCCGATGCCCTCTTAGCCTTTAACTAAAGACGCCCCTTGACTTGCAGACTGTGTGGAGCCCAGATGTGTGCACTGGGGGGAGCTGAGCCAGGCTCCTGTTCCATCTGAACCCCAGAACAAGGAGGCAAAGGAGAGTATACCAGGAGTCCCCGATGGTGACACCTCCCAGGCTGAGAGTCCGGCCGTGAGTGCCATGCTGCAGGCCATCGCCGCCAGCCACCTGCCTGTGTGCAGCCAACAGCAGGGTGAGCCTGACCTGACAGAGCATGAGAAGGTGGCCATCCTGAGCCAACTCTATCACGAGAAGCCACTGGTGTTCCTGGAGCGCTTCCGCACCGGCCTCCGGGAAGAGCACCTGGTCTGCTTCGGCCACCTGCGTGGGGACCACCGTGCTGACTTCTACTGTGCCGAGGTGGCCCGGCAAGGCACTGCCCGACCCCGAACCCTACGCACCCGCCTGCGTAACCGACGTTATGCTGCCCTGCGAAAGCTCATCCAAGGTGTTGGGGGATGGTGGATGGGGGGGGGGACAGAGGTGGGGAGGAAAGGGAGACTGAGGCTGAGTGAGCGAGACAAGACCCAAGTGTAGGAACCCCAAGAAATCCATGGAGTTAAGTTTTGAGACAAAGAGAACGGAGACACAGACCCACAATGAAGTAAGGGAGAGAAAGATGAGCGGATAGGACCAGAATTCAGTAGATGACAGGGTCACATTTGTTTGACAGAAGTCTCACTCACCCAGGCTGTCTTTGAACCCAAATTCCTCCTGCCTCAGCCTTTCAAGTGTTGGCAGAAGTGGCATCTTAGATGGCTGAGGACACCAAACAGAGCACTGTGATATCAGGGGTCCTCAAGGACTGGGCGTTCCCATTGTCACACTGTGCACAAAAAGCACTGTTGGAAACCAAGGAGGGATATCCGTATGGCCTTGGGTATACACGGCCACCATGAACAAAACACAGGTGAAAAGCATGAAGGGAGAAGAGCCTGGTGTAGCGGTTCATGCCCCAACACTCAGGAGGCAGAGGCAGGAGGATCTCTGAGTTTGGTGCCAGCCTGGTCTAGAGTGGCTCAGGCCTGGGTACATAAACATGCTCAGTCAGGCTGTATATTCAGTGCCCCTCTGGACCTCAGTCACCTGAGAGTGACTTTATCATGTACCTTGATCGCAGACAAATGTAAACATCTCCTAAGCAGTTCACACACATACATGCCTGGACATGTGTGCTCACCCCTAACCCCGCCTCTTGTGCACAGGAGGCGAGTACTTCAGCGATGAGCAGATGCGGTTCCGGGCCCCGCTGCTGTATGAGCAGTACATAGGACAGTACCTCACGCAAGAAGAGCTCAGTGCCCGCACACCGGCCCCCCAGGTCCCCAGGACCGGCTCCCCCAGCATGCCTGCCTACCCACTCTCTGACCTGCTCTTCCAGTCCTACCAGGAACGAGAGCTGCAGCAGAAGCTGCTCCGGCAGCAAGAAGAGGAGGATGCCTGCTTTGAGGAGGAAGAGGACAGTGATGAGGAAGGTGAAGGCCGACAGCAGGGCACCCTGCCCCAGGCCTGTTCCCCATGTTGTGGTACCTGGCTGGGCCCTAATCTGTGAGAATAGACACGATGTCTGGCCTCACCCTCTGCCCTGCCATTTCCTCCTGACCACTGCATATCCATTTTATCCACTGTACACCCCAGGAGAGCAGGCATGGGGCTGGACATAGGACGGTAGCTTGTCAGACGCCTTCAGATAACTGTCTTGGGTATCTCTACAGACCAGAGATCAGACAAGGACTCGGAGTCCTGGGTGCCCGACTCAGAAGAGAGGCTGATCCTGAGGGAGGAGTTCACCAGCCGTATGCACCAGCGATTCCTGGATGGCAAAGATGGGGGCTTTGACTACAGGTGCCTCCCATTCCCAGCCCCCATGGCCCTGGGCCACAAGCAGGTCCCTGTCTATCCTCACAGGCCCTCCCTTAGTGGGACTAGAGCTCCCCACCATGAGTCCTAGTGATGTCAGTCACTCAGAGGTGTCAGATAAACAAGAGTTGATGGCTAGGGTCTCCGGCTAGCCCTCTCTCTCTCTCTCTCTCTCTCTCTCTCTCTCTCTCTCTCTCTCTCTCTCTCTC